TCCGATTCCCAGTCAGAACCCAGATTGCAGGTTCCATCCCTGGTCAGGTGTCTTCAGAAGGCAATGGATAAATATTTCTCTCCCCCCCTCCTCAATTAAAAAATATATCCTCAGATGATATTTAAAATTTAAAAAAGTTTAAATTATACTTACATTTCGATATTTATGCAAAAATACAACAAGCAAATAATTCCATGATAAAAAAGCAACCACTACACTATGGGATGTGCAAAAGTAGGTTGTTTTGAATGCACAAAATAGATTATTCTTGCATTATCATTTATAAATTATTGTATTACTAGAGGACTGGAGCACAAAATCATGCAGTTGGGGCTGCAGATCCTTCAGCCCGGCCTGTGCCCTCTCAGTCTGGGAGCCATCGGGGGATGTCCAAATGGTGGCTTTGGCCCGCCCCCCCTGTCAATTAGACATCCTTAGCGCTGCCATGGAGGCAGGAGAGGTTCCTGCCCACCAACACCATTGCATTCAATAGCTGTGAGCCCGATTTCTGAGTGGCTCGCCCCCTGTGGGAGTGCACTGACCACAGAGGTCAGCTCCTGCATTGACTGTCTGCCCCCTGGTGTTCAGTGCGCATCAAAGTGACCTGTCATTCCACTGTTCAGTCGGTTTGCATATTTGCTTTTATTATATAGGATTTGTATTGCAACTGTAAACATATTTTTTTGCCAGCCCCTGTATAAAGTTGAGGTTCTCTAGCTCAGTGGTTCTCAAACTTTAGGCATATCAGAATACTCAGGAGGGCTTATTAAAGCAGACTGCCAGGCTTACCCCCAGAGGTTCTGATTCAGGAGGTCGATCTGGGTCCTGAATGTACATTTCAAGTTTATAGGTAATGCTGATCTGAGGTCTAAGAACTCCACTTTGAGAATCACTGCTTTAGCACACATAATTATTTTTTAAATTGGTCATTCATTAAGCTGAATTTACAAGTAAAAAGATTTAAAAAGTTATTTACCAAAGTTCATACTTTAAAACTACTAATTACTGATTATCATTATTAAAGTCTAATTTGGCATGTCCTTCACACAGAATATAACCTGTAAAACAATTACTTTTATTATCATCATCATCATCATCCCATTTTAATAGATCAGAAACTAAGGCTCAGCGTACTAAACTTGTTTAAGTGACAGGGCCGGAATAAATAGGCCAACACCACCCAGCAGTTTAGAACCTACCAGGATGTACCAGGTATAGTGCTAGTTATATAAGAAAAAGGTGAATTAGCCTAAACCGGTTTGGCTCAGTGGATAGGGCATCAGCCTGTAGACTGAAAGGTCCCGGGTTCAATTCTAATCGACATGTACCTTGGTTGCGGGGTGTGTAAGAGGCAGCTGATAATTCTCTCTCATCGATGTTTCTAACTCTATATCCCTCTCTCTTCCTCTCTATAAAAAATCAATAGAATATGTTTTTAAAAAAAGAAAGAAAAATGTGAATTAGATAGAGCCCTGTCCTCAGGGTATTCATTCTGGTAGGAGATGCAGATTAAACAAAGGACAAGGTGCTAGGAGAAAAACAAAGGAAAGTTAATATACCCTTTAAGAGCAATACACACCATTAGCTCTTAACTACAAATCTCACAATTTAGGATTTATTATATTAGACTTTTTTCCTTGTAGTCCTATTTCTTGAACCTGTCTTCTTCCTGAGAAACCATGTTTTCATATTGTTCTTAAGACACTAACATAGGAGTTTCATAAATATAATACTTATGTAGTGATTGGTTGATAGGCTAATCTTCCAGAATGGCAGCAACTATGCCTTCTTTGTCTAAAATAACACGTATCTGAAAGATAGGCAAGAATCTAGGATTTTTTAAAAACATTACATGAGACATTAATATTCTTTGCACTGAAGTCTTTTCAGTCATCTTTAAAGATGTTTAGTTTTGCCGAAACTGGCTTGGCTAAGTGGATAGAGCATTGGCCTGCGGACTGGAGGGTCCAGGGTTTGATTCTGGTCAAGGGCATGTACCTTGGTTGCAGGCACGTTCTCAGTGTGGAGGTGTGCGAGGGGCAGCTGATTCTCTCTCATCAATGTTTCTATCCCTCTCTCTTCCTCTCTGTAAAAAATCAATAAAATAGATTTTTTAAAAAGATGTTTAGTTTTAATCAGTGGTATTACTACTACTACCTTTCACTCAAGCCATCTCAGTATTCAAAGGAATTCAAGCTTTGGTATAGAAGACTGAGCCAGCCAAGGAAGAACCAGCTAAGAAAAATGAGGAGCAGCTGGACAGTTAGAAAACCAAACAAAACAGGAGTGGGATGTCAAGAAATCAAGAAAGAAGTGTTTCAAAAAGGATCTGGTCAACTGTCAGGCAAACTACTGAGAAGTCAGTATTATTGGGTTTAGACAACCTAATCATTATATCTTAAGTGAGCACAAAGAACTCAGAGTTGGATTGGGTTGGGAATTATTTGAGGTGAAGAAAGGGAGACAGCAAGGATAATAAGTTTGAGAAGTGTGACCACAAAGGGAAGGAAAGAAGAAAGAGATTCAGCAGCAGCACAATTGGGATAGGTTGAGAGAGGATTGATACTTTGATTTGTTTTAAGATGCAATGTATGACCACAGAATATCCTTTCTATTCATTTGCACTAATACTATGGTAATGGTGGCAAAATTTTTTTCATTCCAGCAAAATGCATTACCATATAATTTTTCAATTCCTTTTAACTGAACATAAAGGTCTCTCACTTTGCTGGGTAATGAATAAAAAGGACCAACATCATCTGATGATGACTCAATTGTTTTCTTAGCAACATTAATTTCTTCAGACAGGTGAGTCTCTTTGAGCTGTTTAGTCCTAGAAAATATTGGTATTTGGGCCTTTGCATTGACAGTCATGGCACTTTTTAGATGGTCTTTAAGACTTTTTCTCCTATTCACATCTGAACTAGTTCTGTCTTTAGAAGAGAATTCATCATTTTGCTGGGGTTGCTCTATACTATTTTGGGGCAATTCCTCATTTATAGTCTTGTGAGAGGATGAGTTCCAATCCCGCTCTTTAGTAGACTGATTGCCTAATTCATTTGAGGAGTTCTGCAAATTTTCAAAGTATAAAACCTGTGAAGAAGGCAATTCATACAAAAGATCAGCTCCAGGTTCAATAGAGACATCTTCATGCCCACTCTGCTTTTTTCTGTGCTCATCTGTTTTTAATTCAGTAAAGCTGCCTATAGTAGTGATGCTGAGCTGGTTATGTCTGATGTTTTCTGAACAAAGATCTTCGGTGGCAAGGTCTGTATCACGCTTCCTATTTTCAGGAAGTTGCATATATTTTTGTTCCAGGTCATCAACTTGAGCTATAAGAGAATTTTCAGCAAAGCTATCATAGTCACCAAACATATCCTCTTCACTATCATTATTCTGGAAAGGAAACAAAAATATTTATGGTCAGTTCTAGCTTTAATAAAAGTTCCAGCCTAGGGCTAAACCAAGTATCTAATTAAATGGTCACATACAGGTCACAGAACTAAATGTAAACCACCCTATGAAATATATATTATCATCCCATTTTACAGATTGAGACATGGAGGCCTAGAGGGTAAGCGACTTGCCTAACCTACACTCTTGGTGCATAATGATGCTGGGATCCTAATTCTTACGCCAACATAAAATCCTTCAAGTAGTAGGTAGACATCTCTTGGGATGTCATCTGACTGGAAGTCCTGATACTGCACTACCCTGTCCTCCCAGACTCTAATCGAGAGTGGCCTTTAACAAAATCATGCTGTATTCCTGGACACACAAGACTGTCCCTAGGAATCTGGAATTGAAAGGGAGAGTCTGCACACCTACTTACAGTGGCCTACTGAACAGAAGAGATGTAAACTCAGAGGTGTCAATACAGTGTAATGATTAAAAATACAGGACTCGGAGCCAGAAGTGTCATTTCTTAACTCCTCGGGGCCTGACTTCAGCTGAAAATGTAACTAGCTTAAGAAAGTACCCAGCATATAATTCGTCCGCTCTTCATAATTGGTAGATTTTATTGGACCAGCAGAAGCAGCAGTAACTTTGAAGTCTAACTCTGCGTCTGTCAAGCCACTTATCTGCTGCGTGAACAACTTTTGTGTGTCCAGGGTCTGCGTTTCACATCTACATAAAAACGGGGATGATAAGGCAATACCTCACAAGTGAGAATTAACAATAACAGAACTGAGGTAAGCACACGAAGACTAGTGGACAACTAGTCAATTGCTTGCACCTGACAAGGATGCTGCCACTATTTCAAAGTTCCCAATCCCATGCCTTCTGTAGCCGATCCCCCACTCCTCTCAGGGGTGTGCGCAGCAGGAGACCTGGGCCCCTCAGGCGGGACACGGGACGAGGAACTCGGGGGGAATCTGATGGGGCTGTACCTCGGCCGGCGGTACGCCCACAGCTTTCCGTCGCGGGCTTCCAGCCGCCATCTCCTCTTCCTCCTCCTCCTCCTCCTTCTGGTCATCGCCCGGCTTGAGCTCGTCCGCGGTGGGGGCGGCAAGAAGGATCTCTAGGCTCGGCCGGTTCCTTTTGCGGACAGACACCCGCCGGCGGATGCGGGAAGTGCCCTCATCCATGGCAGGGGCCGCGGGCTCCGCCCGAGGAACGTCCCGGGGACCCAGCCGCCAAGCCCCGGAGGAGGGGTGAGCGGAGGGCAGAGCAGCAGTAGCGACAGAGGCCGAGGACACTCGCCTCTCCCTCCATCCACCTTTGGGAAAGACACAGGTGAGTTACTCTCTGTCCAGAAGTGGAGGCACAAGCGTGGCAGCCCCACTTCCGGTTGTCCTATGGTAGGTGCCGCGGGCTGGCGGCGCGGCGCGGCCCGGGTGGGCGCGTAAAGGTTCTGCGCAGACGCAGTGAACACCGGTCCCCCGCCCGGCGTTTGCTCGCGGAACCTTTGGCGCGAGTCCTCGGGCTACGCCGGGAGCGCCGGAAGGGACTCGTGCGGACTGCTTCGGAGGAGGAAGGGAAGAGAGGACCGCGGGACCATGGCTTCTGTGGCTGCTGTTTGCAGTGGGCCGGGGAGGAGAAAGGTTGCGAGCTTCCTGACGGCGGCTATCAGCTGTCGAGCGGGTAAAGTCTCTCATCTTCTGCTTCGCGGTAGCGCTGCAGCCGCCGCCCCAGCGCTCGTTAGGTCTGTGCCGTTTTCCGGGCGATGGACGTTTCTCCTAAGTTAAGGTGACCAGGCGTCCCGATTTCTAACAATTTGCCCCGCGTCCCGCGACGTTTTTAAAAAAATCCCGATTTTTGAACAGAATCGGGACTTTTTTAAAACGCCGCGGGACACATTGTTAAAAGTCGGGACGTCTGGTCACCTTACCCTAAATGGGAATCTGTAATGGCCCATGACTAGGATGTTAAAGCTGAAAGGGACGTGAGATGCCTTCCAGTACACTTTATTTTATTTTTTTAACATACGAGGGGAGTAATGGGTGATTATTAAAGAGACAGGGTCCTGCGATTATGCCTGAGACCTCGGGGTACACTTGGTAAGGAAGGGACATCTCCAGTCACCCAGCAGCAAATTCCAGATGTCTGAAGCCCCAAATCAGGGCGAATTGTGAGAGAGGCCTTCGAATCTACAGTTTTTGTACTTGTATCTTTTATGTGCTTCTCTATCAAATTATATGTAAGAGGTCTGTTACACATTTTTCCTCTGTTGCTTCTTCCCCAAGTATTTGCATTAAAAATCTGTTTCTAACCGTGGGGTGAAGGGAAAACAAATATTGCAGAGAGCAGATGAGAGATTGTGTGGCTGGAGAAAGGGTATATATACCCTTTTTCCAAAGCCCTGGAAGGCACATCCATATTAAATCTCACTCTGCTTCAAATCTAAAGGTTTTTGTCCAATCATTGTGAGTATAATGAATAGAAAACCTACCTTTTAATTCAGGTGTCCCTTGATCTTATGTCCCTTGATTCATCTCGCCCCCATAAAGCAATATCTGTAGCTCCTCAGCTAACAAAAAGAATTGGTTTGTTGCTGTTTCTGTTTACTTGCAGTGCTGTGGAGAAGTTGTTCACAGTATAAACAGGTAGCCAGCAATGAGGACCTGGTAAGAATTGTTTTCTTCCCTTTTTTAAGGCATTTGCAAATATGACCAAATTCTTATGTTTAAGTTTTTTAAATAGAGTTCAACTGGGGGACAATACAATCAATAATCATTAGTTTGAGTTTGAGAATTATAATTCATTGAGTAGTCACTTGAGTTTGGAAGAGAATGCCTAGATTTCTAGAAAGAAGCATGGCTTCTGCCCTGGTTGATATGGCTCAGTTGGTTGGAGCATCGTCCTGTACACCAAAAGGTGGTGGGTTTGATTCCCCGCAGGGCACATACCCAGATTGTGGTTTCTAGCCTCAGTCTGGGCGCATGCGGGAGGAAACCGATGATCATCAGTCATCTCTTTCTCCCTTCCTCTCTCTAAAAATCAATAAATTTTTTTTTTAAATTATAGCTTCTGTAATACCATATTTTTTCTTCCTAGATCTTAAATTTAAGTATATGTGCTTTGGGAATTTAAAAAGGTTTGGGTGGATGGAATAATTGCATATAATCTAACAAAGGCATTATATACAAAGCTTGCTTACAGGTTGGCTCTCTTCCCCATTTCAAATTCGATTTTATAATTGTCCCATTATCAATTTTGGAGGGCAGTTGTCTTAATAAATGAGAGATCAAAATTAAAGTTTCATACGAGGATATTAAATGTAATTTCTTCTATTCTGTAGATTTTTTTTTTTTTTATAGGATTTAAGTACTAGGGTTGGACTTGGCAGAATAGGTTTTCTTCCTACTTGCAAAGATAATTTGATACTAATCAGACCATACAAAGCACATAGTACAGTGTAGGGAAGGAATATAGCCAGACATTACATGTGAGCCGAATGTAAATTGGTTTAAGAACATTTGAGGACTTGGAAAAAACAAAGAACTCTAGTCCTCCTGAGCATCTATTGGAATCATCCGATTCACAAATTATCTCAAGAGAGTGAAGGAAATTACTAGAGCTCCTTTTTAGGTTATAAACCCCACCTAGACATTAATTAAAGCTATGGATTTTCTCAGAAAAAGCACACATGCCCGGCCGATGTGGGTCAGTGGTTTGAGTGTGGACCTATAAATCAGATCACGGTTCAGGGCATGATTGGGTGGCAGTCTCCATCCCTAGTAGGGGTCGTGCAGGAAGCAGCTATCAGTGATTCTCTACCATCATTAATGTATCTGTCTCTCCCTCTCTAAAATCAAGAATTTTAAAAAATCTATTTAAAAAACAAAAAGGCACACAGTCCCACTCAATTTGAAATTTTACATAACTACAGGAATTTGGGGACTTTCAAGCCATTTCTAGATTAAGAATCTCTAGACTGGAGTTGCTTTTACTCATGTAGGAGGGAGGCATTGTGACAGAAGAATTATAGTTAGTGAAGAAAGAAAATCCAAAGGCTGACACAAATTTATAAAGCAGTCTGGAGCCATAAAATGGTAGTCAAAGGACCTTATATTAGAGCAAGCTATGGGGCATTGTTTTAAAACAACAATAATGATAAAAACATCTGATAGATAAATGTGGGGATGGATTTAGACATTATATATGACACCTATTGTGCTATTAGATTTTCTTAATTTAAATCTTAAGAATTTTTATTCACTTGGGCAGAACATTTGAGGAGAGAATCACTAAGTACAGATTTAATTTTGTTTCTCCCATAAGCCCCTTTTCCTCCAAAGACTGTATTTTATCCTAGAATCCATGACTTAACTCCTCCTTAACCAAACTAAGCCAAAATAAAACACTTGTACAAAATATGGAAAAGCATACTGAAATCCTTTAGTGAATCCTTTTCAGAAATACTTGTTTTTTCTTTTACAAGCCAATATGTTGTATTCCTTTTCACAGTAAGAAAGGCAGAATTAATTCTTTGGATAGATTTAAATGTGGTAGCCTTAAGGTTTAGTTTTTTAGATTCAAAATTAATGCATTAAATTTCTTAATCAGATTCTTTTCCCTTTTTCCTAGCCTGTTCCAATAGAAAATCCTTATAAGGAGCCTCTTAAAAAGTGTGTCTTGTGTGGAAAACGTGTAGATTATAAAAATGTACAGGTGAGATGTTTTTACTTCACTATGATATTTGATTCTAGGGTTTTGTTTTTTTATTAGTCCTAACTAAAGGGAATCAACTCAGATTTATAACAGGCTTTATGGAGGGGCAACTGGATTAGTAACATGGTAATCCCAAATCTGGTTATATTTCTACATATAAAGCATCTCTATTTTATTCTAATAATAGCTCACAATGGCAGTAATTCTCAGTTGATGGAGGTGAGTAGTTTGGAAGAAGTTGATCTCTCTACCTCACCACCAATATCACTGCTTCAAATACAACTTTATCTGTTTTGTAGCTCTGAGCAAGTTAAGGGGTAGAGAATGATGTTGGAGTTAAGTATACTCACAATAATATAAAGTGATAGCTTCCTTTTGGGGGAGAAAAACTAAGAAAAATTTTAAATGTACATTTTAGGAAAGGGGACATATGTAATACTTTCAACAATAAAGAATTATTTAAAAAAAAACACACAAAAAAACTAGAGATCCGGGGTATGAAATTCATGCAAGGGGGAGAGAGGTGTGGGGAGGTCCCCTCAGTCCAGCCTGGACCCTCTCCAATCAGGGACCCCTGGGGAGATGTCCCTGGGATTGGGCCCAAATTGGCAGTTGGACATCCCTCTCACAATCTGGGACTGTTGGCTCCTAACTGCTTACCTGCCTACCTGCCTGATTACCCCTAACTGCCCCCCCCCTCCCACCCAGTCAGCCTGATCACCCCTAACCGCCTCTGCCTTCCAGCCTGGACATCCCCAACTGCCCCCTCTCCTGGCCTGGTCACCCCTCACTGTCCCCCCCTGCTGGCCTGATCGCCCCTCACTGATACCCCCTGCAGACCTGGTCGCCCCATGCAACTGCTGTTCAATTGTTACTGTGAGGGTGTTGTAATCAATTTGCGTATTACCCCTTTATTAGTATAGATAACAGTTATAACAATAAAAAAATAAAAATAAATGCAACATATGAGGATTATGCCAAGAACACTGCCTGGCACTTGGAAAGTGCTAAATAGTTTAAATTTATGAAACAAAATTATAGCAAATGGCCTGATGTACCTATATCTCTTAAAGACCTCAATATAGCTGAAACTTGTTTGGCTCAGTGGTAGAGCGTCGGTCTGCAGACTGAAAGGTTCCGGGTTCGATTCCGGTCAAGGGCATACACGTTGGGGGTGTGTAGGAGGCAGCTGTTTGATGTTTCTCTCTCATTGACGTTTCTGGCTCTCTATCTCTTTCCCTTCCTCTCTGTGAAAAATCAATAAAATATATTTAAAAAACAAACAAACAAACAAAAAAAACCCTCAATATAGTCTGGTATTATGTTACAGTCTATCATGATAGGTGAAATATTTAGTATTTTGTTGTACACAGGAGTATTTTAGAAAAGGATCTGTATAAACAAGAAAACACCTTTAGCCCTGGCTGGTGTGGTTCACTTGGTTGAGCGTTATTCCATGCACCAAAGAGCACTGGTTTAATTCCCAGCTAGGGCACATGTCCGCTTGTATTCTTGATACCCAGTAGGAGGCATGCAGGAGCCAGCCATGGGTGTTTCTGTCACATTGATATTTCTCTCTTCCTTTCTCTAAAATTAATAAAAAACATTTAAAAAAGAAAACAGGTTTAGCGATGAAACAATATGCTCATTAATTTGTTGTACTGACATTTTGAACAGACTCAGTAAGAGATGTTAACTTTAGTTACTTAAAAAGGTGATCTGTCAATAGGATAGGCATAGTATTTTTCATATTTTATGAAGTTTGTCTGAAATTTATTAATAAACCTTTACATTATTTGAAGGTAATATGAGGTATGCTTTTTGAAATTTACACAATCAAGAATGAATAATACATGTACTAATATAAATTTTTTCTTTTTCTCCAAATAAAACTCAAACAGCTTTTGTCCCAGTTTATTTCTCCATTTACTGGATGCATTCATGGAAGGCACATAACAGGTATTTTTTCTTATAGCAACTTACAAATCTACTTTTGTTATTTAAGAAAACTGGCAAGTGTTTATTTTCAAATAGTATATAAATCACTATTAGAAAGCTTAGTATTTAAGAAAGCTTCTTAGTCCAAAAAGTACTATTTTATATGTCTTATACTCAGAGGTAGCCATAACCTGACATGGAGAAAATTTGGGTTTAAAAAATTGGGTTGGTATTTTGGAGTATACTATTATATAATCGCTCCTAGATTATTATTTAAACAAAAGGCCTATTTCTCATAGGCCAAATTGGATCCGTCACTTATTTTTGTAAATAGGTTAATTTATGTAATGTCTGTGTCTGGCTGCTTTGTGTACTAAGAGTAGAGTTGAGAAGTTACAATAGAGACTATATAGCCTGCAAAGTTTAAGATATTTACTGTCTGGCTCTTTACAGGTTTTTCCATCCTCCCTTGATTTAATTGTTATGCATTTTGTAAAAGGCGAAAGATTTATGCGATCTGAAGAGAAACCAGAGTATAATTGTTATGCATTTTGAATATTGGTTTTTTTTTTATGAAGAAGCTTTTTTTTTTTTTTTTTTTTTTTTACAGGTCTTTGTGGGAAGAAACAAAAAGAAATCACAAAAGCTATTAAGAGAGCACAAATAATGGGTAAGAGAATCTGAAAAATTATTTGGGCTTATCCATTTTGGCTGTTATCTTTTGTGAAGAACTTAATTGTCTCTTTACAGGATTTATGCCAGTTACGTACAAGGATCCTGCATATCTCAAAGACCCTAAAATTTGTAACATCAAATATCGGGAGTAAATTATATGAAGTTATTATCAATAAACTTATTTTAAAATAAATGGTTGTTGACTCAAATTATAAGGTTTAATAACCTTTAGAAAATTAGTAGGCTAAAATAAATCTTATCAAACTCTTAAAAGGAAATTTTATGAAGAAGAAGTATTTCAGAAGTGAGGCGTTCCATACCAGTGAGTGTTCACTAAATAAAACCAGATTATTTGAAGTGTTAACACTCATTACATTTCCATACACATGAATAAAAATATTGGTATTGTAGCACTGTCATTTGTATCTGGCCCACAAATAGCTTGTGCAATAAATAGACTGCTGAAAATGGGATATTAAATATGGAAGAGATGACTTGTATTTGGATTTTACTTTAGATCCAGATTATGTTTTGTAGGTGGCATTTTAGAGATATGGGTACAGAAAAGTGGAATGTTTGTATAATGTACAAATCCCTCACAACAGACTGGACATGAAATTGCTCAGGAGGGTTATCTAACTAGCAAATACAGGTATACTGGGCTAGGACAGTGGATCTTCTCTTTGTAGATACGTTTCATTGGATGGATAGTGGTGATGTCACAGGACCTAACATTTATTTCTGGGCTAGTCTATCCTGAAACTGGTAGTCTCCTTTAAATAAACTGATCCATAAGTGATATATTGTGTCATCATTGCCAAATGTTGGAGAGAAATTAGAATTTTTCCTATATTCTTTTTCCCCTTTTTCACTAAATACGTTGAAAGTTGGGTCATCAAATTCAATTTTGGAAGTTCAGCTGTATACTAATTAATGACCTGTGCAAACTTCTCTGGTGACAGTTCAGTAGTGTTGTGCAACAGTATAAGCTAAATACATTTTAGCAAATTGAACTTCCCATGAAGGCACATTTAAACTTCAGTCTGAGTAAATATGTAGGATCTTTGAAAAATCTCAAGCTGTTATCTAAAGAAGATATTTGCATATATGTTGGCTATTTGTTGCCTCTGCCATTCCTACTCTTGCCTGCGCAACCAGTTTTGTTCATTTATTGGTTACATTTAGACATTATCAATGTTCTGTATGCTCTAATGTTTGTGATTATTTTTAAATAGGCTTCAGATTGACAACCTGTTTCCCTCCTGCCCTCCACAACACCAAGGAGTTCTTATGTAACCAGTAAAACAATCCTAAAAGAAACTCATTATTTGCAAAATCATTCCTAGTATTATGTGGGCTTCCTAAGCACCCCATGGTAAACTAATACATGTCAACACACGGGTGAAAGATGATAATTTTTGACATTGGCTATGAATTTGCTCAATTAGGAAATAATATGGAAAAGCAATGGCCAAAGTGTATCCTAAGCATTTCATAGAGTGAGTGAAACATAAGGCTTCTTGAGATGTGTATATTTCATGGAAAATTCTCACCGTTACGAAACAAATACAAAAAAACAGCAAAAGCTCTCTAAGCCAGCCTCCACTTAACCAATCCATTAGATTAAATGGGTTAAACTAAATATTCTTCCTAAAAATCTTACTGAAGCCCATGAGTCTCCTACCTGTTGAGTTCTGCATTGCCAAGAGTCAGTTCTTTTGTCCTCATCCCTGTAAGTTGATTTATTATTGTAGTGATGGAAAATGAGCATTAAGAAGAAAGTTACTCCTACAATAAAAACTAAGTAAATGCTTTGGAAGGCCAATAGAAATAGTTTCAAAAAATAGTTGTCAAATTAGGTGTGGTTATGTTGTTTTTTGTTTTTTTGTTTTTTTAAAAAAATGTATTACTGCAAATAACCAGGCTCAGCTGATCAAAAATCTTTTGGCCTAAAAGGATCAAAATGTAGGAGATCTTGGATAGTCACCAGAATCCTTCATTTTCTCAATCTCCTCATCTGTTTCCAGGCTGCTTGTGGATGATTTTTCTTGGTTACTATTATCAGTTTCTGTTTTAGATGGTTGATTTTGTATCTCCAACAGCCGTAACTTCTTGAATTGCCTTCTGTCATCTGTATCTAACGCTTTACGCTTCATTTCTTGCCGTGCAATGCTAGCTGGACTAGCTTCAGAAATGTCAGTGTATTCTACCATTAAGGTCAGGTTGTCTACCACATTGAGTTGGTGATTGTTATTACAGCTACTTTTAGAGAGATGCCTGTTTTTCAAGGAGATAACACACGAGTGAAGAAATTCACAGTCTGGAAAAAAGGTCCGTAAAGCTTGACAAAGAATGATGTTCTCCTGAGGGTCTTTTTGGACATTCTTCTCTCCTAAAACAAAATAAAATAACAGTTCAACATATAATAGTTGTTCTACAAAGCATTTATACTTATCTGTTAGTAAAGTTGAGTCAGAAATACTAACAATTTTATCAACTTGTTTAAACTAAGAAAAATGACTTGCATAATCCCAAACTCCCACTCATGCTATAATATTGTAAAAGAACATTATAACTAAATTCTTTAATATCAACAATAGAATATACTTATAATAGTACCATGTTTTTTGCTCAGTGAAATTTAAGAGTATTAATAAAACAATTATTTTTTTAATCTTAAGATGGGCAAATTCATCAGTGGCTGGCTCATCCATAATTCAAATCAGAATTTTATTTTAGGCATTGAAAGAGGTGGTGTGTGAACTTTTTACTTACGTGCTGCTTGAATCTGTGCTTGTTTTCTTTTTTTAATTTCTTGTTTTAATCTGTTTACATCCTTTAGAAGTTTTTCTACTGCTTCCTCACTCTCTTCTACCTGTTTGCATACACTCTGCAAAATAAAATAATGCAAGGGTATGGATAAAGTTCCCAGTCTGATGTCATAAAAACCTTCATGGTACATAATATTAAGTATTATTTGCTTTTATAAAAACTTTAATTTTGCTATTTTTTTAGAGGAACTCAACAATAAGCACTTGTATGGTACTTTATAGGTAGCAAGTTTTACAGATGTATTAACTTCCCATTTATACACTAGCTTTATCATAGTTATTTCTTTGATAATGCACTGAAATAAAAAACAAAAATATTTAACTCGCCTTGAAACAAAACATACTGTACTATTTTGAGAAGTGTATAATTACTGTAAACATTTAATACTAAAGAAAAGTGATTGTATTTTGCTGTTATAAAAAAGTTTTCATACAGGAACTTCATAATTCCTATAAAAGAAACTACTTTTATTCTTAACTGTTCACACTGTTACAGATGGTCCCCATTTTCCTCCTCTTTGTCCACCTCCATCCAGTCCCCTACCCCCCACCCCCCCAAAAAAAAAAAAGACAGAGACAAGCCCCTGCCTTTCCCTCTGCCCTCTTCTTCCCCTATAGGCATGCATCTCTTAAACTCTAAGGGTTCCCATAAGACTTGCAACCAGGGGAGCAATGGGCAGTAGTCCTTGTCCCAAGCTAATCCCTTGAACCTGTCCCCAAGGTCCCCTTTTCTCTGACTCTCCATGAGCTGACAGTAGCCCTGCTTTAGCTCACTTCTTTCCCGTAATAAACACACTCTCAAAAAAAAAAAAAAAAAAAAAAAAGAAAGAGAGGAAAGAAAAGCAGACCAGTCTCATGTGTCCATCAGTTTGAAGTACTAATATCTTTTGAATCAGTGATTTCATTTTGGAAATATATCTTAATAACAAAATATATATAAGTTGATGATTCTTAGTATAATATTAAATCAAAAGTTTCTCTATTTTGCAAAATTCCTGTGGCTCAATGGTTGAGCATTGACCCATGTACCAAGAGATCAGGACACATGACCAGGTTGTGGGCTCATTCCCCAGTATAGGGCATGTAAGATGCAGCCAATTAATGTTTCTCATCATGTTTCTTCCTTTCCCTCTCTCAAATCAATATAAAAACCTATTTTAAAAAAATTTAGCCGAAACCGGTTTGGCTCAGTGGAAGAGCATCGGTCTGTGGACTGACAGGTCCCAGGTTTGATTCCGGTCAGGGGCATGTACATTGGTTGTGGGCACATCCCCAGTAGGGAGTGTGCAAGAGGCAGCTGGTCGATGTTTCTCTCTCATTAACATTTCTAGCTCTCTATTTCTTTCCCTTCCTCTCTGTAAAAAAATCAATAAAATATATTTAAAAAATTTTAACTATTTTCCAATTACAGGGTAAAAGGTTATTATAGCCAGTTTTAGTAGATACTTAAAAAATTTTTTTTTAAGTAACTATTTTCCAATTATAGGGTAAAGGATTATTATAGTCAGTTTTAGAAGGTAAACCTTTTTTTTTTTTTTTTTTAATCCTCACTAGAGGATATTTTTTTCCCATTGATTTTTAGAGAAAATAGGAGGGAGGGAGGTGAAAGGAGAGAGAGAGAGAGAGAACTATTAATGTGAGATATTCACATCAACTGGTTACCTAGGGCTGGGAATTGTACCTGCAACCCTTTGGTCCTCGGGCCTGAGTCAAAGTGGATACTTTTTTAAATGTCTGCTCAACCTGTTTTTCATGAACTTGTTCACCAATAAACCCTTTACTAACGTCACCCTAACCCAAGCAGAGACATAGCAAATCAGCAAACCCTAATCTCTTGAATAGAAGAGCTCTAAATGCAACTATGAGTTAGCTGTCTGGCCAGCCAGTGGATGAATAAACAGAAAGACCTGCAGATCCTATGAAGGAAACCTATGTGCAGACATAGAGGGAGAGAAAGTTGTGATGGCACTCTTAATTCCTGGTTCCAATTTCTTCCTGAAACTCAGCTGCTTTCTGCCTACAGTTCCTTTATTACACCTCTTTACATTCTGTATTTTATCCCAAGTTGGTACTTTTAACGTAAGAGTTCCAATGTACTACTCTATGAAATACACTGCCACTAAAAAGAACAAAAGAATATGTAGCAACATAAAAAATGTTTAATATATCGAATAAATAAAAATCATGATACACATTGATTTACTTCCATCACTACCCACTATATAAAAGTATGTATACATTAGGGAAAAACTGCAGAATATGGCAGTGAAAAGTTATTTTTCAATAGTGGCATTCTAAATGTTTCTCTATTTTCTAAATTTCTGCACTATCATTCATATAAGTAGTGTAAAATGTATTAACGTCATTTCTCTTAGTGTGTGCTCTGTTGATGAGTATGGTGAGCATGGAAGTATACTACTGTAACCTCATCTGGAGGAGGCAGAGTTGACGAGAAGCCCAGCTGCCATGCTTTTGGACCCACTACTGTGTGCTTAGGCTAGGCTTTCTGTAGGCTGCTCTTAGTGACTGAGCACGTTGTGGGTATTATGTCCCATTCCTATAGGACAGCTTTGCTTGGCTGAAACTTTTCTGGTCCTGCAGTCTAAATAAAGTTCTTACCCAATTTCCTTTCTCTGTCTTCCTTTTCAGAAGCACCCTCCCTTCTCAGGCCCAATAAGTCTGTCTAATCCTAGCTTGATGTTTATTTCTCAAAGGATTGAACTGACAAAGATAGAATTAAATACAGTGCTAGACTGTCTTGTTCCCAAATATTTGCTTTTGTTTTTATCCTAAAAAAGGATTATATGTCCCCACCTATTGTCATGCGATATCCTCTGACCAATGAAATATAAGTGGAAGAGACGAGCCATCTCCCAGTTTTAAGAACTGTGTGAATTTCCACTAGCTTTCTTGCTCTTTTCCTTTGTCATGAGAAAAGTATATCCCACGTAAGGGCTGCTACTTCCATCTGGATCCTAGAATGAAGATACTTAGAATAGGAGCAGAGTTGCAGCCAAGACATAATGTGAGACTAAATTTTTGTGTTTATAGGTTACTAAGATTAGGTCTTTGCTACTGAAGTTAAATGAAATTAAAATTTAATCTAATGTCAATTTTTCCATAAAAATTCTCAATGATCAATTTGATATCAACTCTAAAGTGGTCTCTAAGTGTTGACAAGTTATATTACCTTTAATTCATCTTGTAAAGAAGCATACATTTCATTTATCTTGTGTACTTCCTTTAAAGATCCATCTTCTTTAAAAAATTCAGAGCTGTAAAACATTACCATTTCATCAGGCAAACATACAGAATTCAATGATATGATGAAAACTTATTTGTAGTTGAGATATGGAAAATCACAATCATATTTTACTGATTTTAAAGCATCACTGATTGAAAGAGGCAACATTATTTTACATATCAAGAAGAAAAAAAATGCTAAGGCATGGTTTGTAAAACATCCCAATTTGAGGTAAATTTAAAACTGTACATCTTAGAATCAACAAAGACCCTGGTAAGGACATATATAAGACACTGGTAAGGACTGTGGGAACAAAAAATAAATAAAATCTAGTGCCTTTTCTCAAAGTTTATTCACTAGGAAGTATCCTGTAATGCCATTGTTGCTATTTCTGACAATCATTTCTTTAACAATCACAAAAAAAGTTATAACTTAGCCGTTGGTAGTTTGCGTGAATCTTGGCTAGTGCCTCATTTTTTGTATTTATTATGCAGTCTAATTTCATGCCTTTAAACTGATGCCTTAGAAAATTTATTATTTTAAGGCTAGCTACTTAGTCTTAAAAAATTCATTAAAATATGGAACAACTTCCCTCTATGTAAATGGGCAAGTGCTAGAAGGAAATATGGAAAAAGTAAAAAGTCTAGTTTATTTGAGTGATATGGTTATTAGTCAATTTTCCTTTATTTTTATTCTTCATTTGTATAATAATTTCAGTAAGTGAATAGGAATAATTTTAGTGGGGAAGCAATTGAGGAATCTCACCTGTGTGTTTTTACTGCTCGGCTAAAACCAGTTGATGTACAGGAACCTGATACAGTTTTATAACCTAGTTGTTCAGACATGCCCAGGTTGGTCACCACTAAGGGTATCCTATGAAAAAGTCTGAGGAAATAAAATTTTAAAATATAAACCTAGAATAAAGTCAAAGATTAGCATCTACTTATTAGTATATATTACCTTTCCCCTGTAAGATTAAAAAAAAAATCTGATTCCTTACTACTTTACTGACATGAGAAAAATGGCTTTTAAAAGTTGTAAATTGCTCTAATCAGTTTAGGTAAATGGTTAGAGCATTGGCCCATGGGTTGAAGTGAACAGGTTCGATTCCAGTCAAGGGCATATGCCCAGGTTGTGGGCTCAATCCCTAGTAGGGGATGTACAGGAGGCAGCTTATCAGTGATTCTCATCATTGATGTTTCTATCTCCCTTCCTCTCTGTGAAATCAATAAAAAAAAATTTTTTTTTAAATAATTAGAACCTAATAAAAAACAATGCAAAAATATCCTTAGGTGAATATTTTTTTAAAAAGTTGTGATATGTACATAGTCTAAGATAGTTACATAAAAAAAAAAACTTTTATGGCTATTTTAACTGATTAGGACATCCAATATAATAAAAGGCCAATATGAAAATCGACCAAATGGAGGAACGACTGGCTGCTCTGATGTGCACTGACCACCAGGGAACAGATGCTCAATGCTCCCAGAGAGGGAGTACCGCTCAGCCAGAGGACAGGCTTACAGCTGACGAGCACAAGGGTGGTGGCAGGAGCCTCCCACCTCCACAGCAGTGCTAAGAATGTCCTACTGCTGGGAGCAGGCCAAAACCATCAGTAGGACATCCCCCGAGGGCTCCCGGACTGCGAGAGGGCACAGGCTGGGTTAGGGGACCCCTTCCCCCCCGAGTGCACAAATTTCATGCACTGGGCCTCTAGTATAAATATAAAGCTTAATTGTTGAGTTTAGCCTATCTTCCATGAATAATAAAATTATTATTATTTTATTGGTACTCTTAACTTAAAATTCTTATATTCCATGAAAATGTTTATACAACCTTTGGGGAGTCTGTTAAACCATTTTGGTAGGTCATCAAGAACTACCTTGCTTCCTTGCAGAGGTTGCAAAAAAGATGCTCAAGTATCTAGATTTAAGTTCTACATTATATCCTTTAGAAACCAATATTTAAAGCACACATACCCTGTTTCCCCAAAAATAAGACAGTGTCTTAATTTTTTCTCCCAAAGTTGCGCTAGGTCTTATTTTCAGGGGATGTCTTATCTTTCCATGCGTTAGGTCTTATTTTCGGGGAAACACAGTATTTTTTCCATCTTATATTAAATAATAGCAAACCCTCAGTGACAAGAAATATAAGTCAACATTCCATACTGGGCTTCTAATTTCTTTATCTGACATTTTCCCATTTATTAAGAACAGATGGTAAGACAGACTTCAGAGCAATATTATTACAATCTAAAGTAATAATGTATTAAAATACTTGGTAAGCTGCAAAAAGTGCTATAAAAATATTGAGTGTATTTTTCTATTAGCTGAAGACAGCCAATGACTGGCCAACATTTACCCTTTCTGTGGTTTATACAAGGCATGTTCCAGCCGATGAGTAGAACAGCTTTCTGTTATTATACTTGGTGTTAATAGCAGAAAAACAAGTTCCTGGCTTGAAAGATGCTGCTGTAAATTTTTGTGAAGTAGTCTTTCTCTAAATGTCATGATCTGGTCTGAATGGCGTCGGAATTTATACCAACCCACCACATCCTGAAAGGAAATACAGAAAAAACACACACCTTAATCATTACAATTATTGTGTCTTATCATAATTAAGCAATACAACTGACAGCCTTAAAAAATGGCTTTCTCGCCCTGGCTGGCTTGGCTCGGGATAAAACATCAGCCTGTAGACTGAAGGGTCCCATGTTCAATTCTCGCCAGGGGCACAAGCCTGGGTTGTAGGCTTAATCCCCAGTAGGGGGCGTGCAGGGGGCAGCTGCTCAATGATTCTCATCTTTGATGTTTTTATCTCTCCTTCTGTCCTCTCTGAAATCAATAAAAGATTTTTTTAAATGGCTTTCTTAATATTTAGCAAGATTTGGGGCATATGTAAACAAAACATACACTTAAATATAAACTTTTATACTTTGTAAAATATGCAAACTGTCTTGCAGTTATTCAGTTTCAGGACTAAATTTTATTCAATATAGGTTAAGGGGAAAAAGATTAACTTTTTTTTTATGGTATTTGCTCTTTTAAAATCTTAATCTTTAGCTCGGCCGTGCCACTGGTGGGGGACCCAGGCCGGTACCAGGCGCTGCCCATCTCTACCTGGGGGAGACTGTCCACTTCCTGCTAGTGCTTCACTGCCGGGGAGTGGGGGTGGGGGATTCTGGTACTGGGGGTGGTCCAGGCAGAACTGGGCACTGCCCTGGCTGGCAACTCCAGCAACCAGCCTCCTGAACCCTTAGGGAGCGGGGATCCAGGCAGTGGGGGATTATTTCTCACCCACCACCCGGGCCCTGCAACCTCAGGGGGAGTGACCATGCTGCCTGTGGAGGAACCAATTGTGTCCACAGATGAGCTTATCTTCTCACTCAGTTACACTGGATAGACTGGCCTCAGGGACACCTAAGGCCAAGGGCCTAGAATCCCCTTGATTGCTGTGGTCCACCTCAAAGCTGCCCTCCATCCAGAGCATCTATACTCACTACCGTCTGTCCAGTGTTCGCCTGGACCACCCATGCTTTGTGCGACTGCTTCTTGTGAGACCCCATTTCAGACCTACGAGCATTTCACGATCACCTACATGCTGCTCAACAATCTCCAAGACTTCCTTGCTGTGAGGCTTGTGTGGACCGCGGAGCACACACAGGCTGGGCGACTGAGGATCAATCAAGCTGTGCTCGTGGAAGCCCCTTGCTGAGGAACACTGTACAGATGTGTTTACTGGTCGCTGTTTCTGCCTCCCAGGAAAGCAGCTGTGTGAGGACCTTCGGGCCATGCAGGCTGCCCTAGACTCCACTGTCTGCCACACCCCTCTCCCCTCAACAACCTTAGCTTTTCCTGGAAGGGCAGTGCTCTCACCTTCAGAGTGGCCTACCAGGTTCTAGGGACAGGGCTCTTGGAGGTGGGCTGGGGAAGTGCTGAGAGAGGTGGACGGTGGGTGGTGGTGCAGAATGTTGGGATAGGAGACATACTAGCTGCTGGAGAGGAAATACAATGGATGGCACTAAAGCCCGGCTGAGGGACGGTGGCATTTAGATCCAGAATTGGCCTGTCAAAGGGAAAGGTGATTTGAAAGGTCTGGGGCCTGGACGCCAAATAGAAATGCTGATCTGTCTTTCCACCCCAGCTGAGCCAATACATGAAACTGAAGCTACAATTCACTTCTAGTGTGTCCCACCCTCTACCCAGGCCCAGCCCCTCTCTTGAAAGAACAGTCCCAGGAGCCTCGCTGTCTGGGACTTGGTGGAGGCACCAGGCTAGCCTGGGCCACTCTCAGTCCTCCCACAACAGCCTTCCCGCAGCCACCTCATGAAGAATGGAACCAAGGGAGGGGAGCCACTGGACTCAGTAGAGGCCAGAATTAAGAGAAGGAGCAGGAAATGGTCCTAAGGTCTAACTAGAGCTCATATCCTCTGCCTTCCTTCAGGTCTGGCAGTGTGATGGAGGGTAGGGCCATCACACCCGCCGTGGCCTCCACAGTTGGCTGCCCACTCTACCAACCCCCAGGAAAGGCTGTGCTCTCTCTGGACAAAATTTCCAAATGCGAGTGCAAAGTTCTGGTGGTGGAGCCCATAAAGTAGCACCTTGCAGGCTCTCTTACTTGCCCAGAAATAGAACGCCCCTGGAGGGAGTCCTTATTCCAGGCTGTACCTCCCTAGGGATGCCTCCCATTGTAGGTGAGGAGGCCATAGCCTGTCTGTGTCTGCAGATGAGGGAAAAGCTGTGAAATGGGCGGGTATGACTGCAGCACTAAACCAACAGTATTCCCCTGACTTCCTGTGGGGGAGATGGGCTGTTTTCCCGCCTGGTTCCCTGGTTCTACGTTTACAAAGTGGTTTCTCATTCCTATTAAGTTGTCTTTCCTGCCTCTGACATTCCCCTGCCACCACCACCTACCCACCTCAAGGCTGAGATTAGACGGTGGTGATGACAGAGACGCAAACAATGACCCTCCTGTCTCAGAGGTGAGGGGCCATAGGTGATGGCTTCCTCCTGCCCTCATTGTTTACGTTTGCAGCCTGAAGCACTTTAAGTTGTGTGAGTTTTGTTTTTGTTTTCTGTCTGTCTCTGTAATTTATTCTCCAATTACTGCTTCCAACTGAAATAAAACTATTAAATGCCTGTTCAGGAGGGAAAAATAAAATAAATGAAATCTTAATCTTTAGTCAAAATTTAAACTAAGATAATGTCAATGAAAACAATTTGATTTCCTATATGGATATTTGGTTTGTTAAGTAAGTTGAGCCCTGGGTGGTTTGGCTCAGTGGATAAAGCATTGACCTGCAGACTGAAGGGTCCCAGATTCGATTCCAGTCAAGGGCATGGCACGGGTTGCAGGCTTGATCCCCAGTAGGGGGTGTGCAGGAGGCAGCTGATCAAGGGTTTTCTCTCAAAATTGATGTTTCTAACTCTTTTTCCCTCTTCCTCTCTGAAATCATTAAAAATATATATTTAAAATAAATAGGTAAAAGGGAGTTCCTGGAAGATGGCGGCCAGCGAAAGTAAAAGCTGCGGCCGCTGGGGCGGCAGAGACAAAAGTGCGCACTGGGACCCCGGAAATCTGCGTCCACAGAAGCCCCCCACTGTTGGGTCTGGCATGATTCGAGAGAGTGGACGGGGGTCCCCAAGGTTGCTACTAGTGGGGTTCTCTAGGGAGCAACCCATTCTGATCCTACACGGTGGGAGAACATAGGAGTTGGAAAGCAGTCTGTTTGTAAGTGCGCGCAGACTTGCCCATCGCGCACCTAGGCTGGTTCCCCTGCAACACTTCGCTTCTGATTACAAAGGAGAGATCACCCAGATTGGCTGACCCTAAGAGACAGCAGAGGGAAACTGCTTTTCTGGAAACTGAGAAGCAGAGCAGGGAGAAATCATCCAGGATTCAACTCCGAGGCAAAAAAAACCCCACACAAACAAACAAATGGAATACTATGCTGCCATAAAAAAGAAAAAAATTCTCATCGTTTGCAGCAACCTGGATGGAATTGGAGAACATCATGCTGAGTGAAACAAGCTAGTCAATGCAAGAGAGACACCACATGACCTCACTTATTTATGGATGAACTTCCTGGAAGATGGCGGCCAGTTAAAACACTTGTACGGGCTGCCTCCCATAACCATATCAGTGCTGCAACAGGGGATCTTACCTGAGACCTGAAAAGACCACAACTGTGAGGCCCCGACCGATGAGGACACGCGGATTCCACAGAAAGGAGAGAGAAATCAACGCAGGAGAGAGACATCCTGAAAAGAGAGACCATGGGGAGACAAAGAAACAGCCCACAAATGAAAGAAAAGCAGGCATTACCAGAAAAGGAAGTAAACGAGTTAGAGGCAAGCAACCTACCAGAGCAAGAATTCAGAGTAACGATCATAAGATGGCTAAAAAGAATGGAAGACAAATTTGACAATATGAGTAAGACCCAAGAGGAAATGAAGAAAAACCGAGGAAATGAAGATGACTCAAGAAGAAATGAAAGATGACATCACTTCTATGAAGAACTCAATAGAAAGGATCAAGAGCAGACTAGAAGAAGCAGAGGACCGCATCAGTGAGCTAGAAGACAAGATGGAAAAAAATACCCAATTAGAGCAGCTTCTAGAAAAAAAAAATTTTAAAGCAGGAGGAGAGCCTATGGGAGCTTTGGGACAATGCAAAACAAAAGAATATTCGAATAATAGGGGTTCCGGAAGGAAAGGAAACTGATGTAGACATGGAAAATGTATTTCAAGAAATAATGACAGAAAGTTTTCCTGAGATAGAGAAGAAAAAACCCACACAAATCCAAGATGCTCAGAGAGTCCCAAGCAAAATGAATCCCAGAAGACAGACTCCAAGGCACATTATAATTAAATTGGCAAACACCAACGACAAAGTAAGAATCTTAAAAGCAGCCAGAGAGAGACAGAAAGTTACTTATAAAGGAACCCCCATCAGACTAACAACTGATTTCTCAACAGAAACTTATCAGGCCAGAAGGGAATGGGATGAAATAAACAAAATCATGCAGATGACTGGATCCAAAAACTATGGTACATTTACACAATGGAATATTATGCTGCCATAAAAAAGAAAAAATTCTTATCGTTTGCAGCAACCTGGATGGAATTGGAGAACATCATGCTGAGTGAAACAAGCTAGTCAATGCAAGAGAGACATCACATGACCTCACTTATTTATGGATGATAACATTATAAACTGAAGAACCAAAAGATAGATATAGAGACAGTAAAGCAACAAGCAAAGATTGTCAAATTACAGCGGGGAGGTTGGGGAGGTCTGGGGGAGATAAGAGATCAACCGAAGGACTTGTATACATGCATATAAGTACAACCAATGGACACAAAACTGGAGGGGGGGGCATTGGTATATGTACAAAAATAATAATTTAATTAAAAAAATATTAAAATAGCCAGGACCGGTTTGGCTCAATGGATAGAGCGTCGGCTTGGGGACTGAAGGGTCCCGGGTTCGATTCCGGTCAAGGGCATGTACCTTGGTTGCGGGCATATCCCAAGTAGGGGGTGTGCAAGAGGCAGCTGATCGATGACTCTCTCTCATCGATGTTTCTAACTCTCTATCTCTCTCCCTTCCTCTCTGTATAAAATCAATAAAATATATTTTAAAAAAAATTAAAATAAATAGGTAAGTTGAACCCAGTAGCTTTTAAATCTGAAATCTACATGGTAATGATATCACCTATCCCAGAGAATTGGTTTCAAGATTGAATAAGATCATGTAAAAGGGTCTTATGAACTGTAACATGCTAAAGAAATGTTAAGTGTTACTAAACCTTTTTTTCTTAAACTCCAAAATTTAATTTAATTTTTTCTGGAAACACAGTAATTGTAAAAAAAAAAAGAGAAACAACCACTTCGCTTAGAGATCTGTCTGTGACCATTTCAGCAACTAAGTTTTATATTCACTCATTTAAGTTGAGGAAATTAAATTACTTATTTTTAAAATATATATATATTTTTTATTTCAGAGAAGAAGGGAGAGGGAGAGAGAGAAACAACAATGATGAGAACCATTAATCGGCTGCGTCCTGTACACACTCCACTGGGGATTAACCTGGAAACCCAGGCTTGAGTACCTATTAGGTATTGAACCATGACCTCCTAGTTCATAGGTTGATGCTCAACCACTGAGCCACTCTGACTGGGTAAAATTATATCTCTTTACAACTAAAACATTTTTACAGGAACATTTTTAAAACATAATTGGAAGCCCAAGCATTACCAACAATGGATTTTTTGAAAGAAACTTCTCTTACTAAATTTACTTTTATTCTGAACTCAGAGATCAAAAACTTTTTTTTTAAAATATGTATTTATTTCAGAGAGAAAGGGAGAAGGAGAGAGAGAGAGAAAAACATAAATGATGAGAATCATTGATCAGCTACCCCCTGCATATCCCCCACAGGGGATCGAGCCCGCAACTCTGGCATGTGCCCTTGGCCGGAATTGAACCTGGGATCCTCACTTTGCAGGCCAACGCTCTATCCACTGAGCCAAACCGGCGAGGGCAGAGATAAAAAAAAAAGTTTTAAGAGGAAAATAGTACCTAGAAAAAATTTTTGTAATTGTGAAAAAATATCTATTTTGATCAACAAATTTTAACTGAATACCAGGTATGCTGTGGAGGGAGGAATCAAATTAGGTGCTGTATAGGAAATCATCCCTGTACTATAGAAACAAGTAACTGCAGTTAGGTAAAAAGAGTAATGGATTAAGTTCCTGAATAAATGCTACTGGGAAGGGGTATGCTGGAAAGGCAGAAGAGGAAGAGGTCAATGTTCATTGGACTAGTCAAGGGAAGGATGAAAACAAGATTAATTCTTTTAATGACTAGTTTTGCTGTCAGAGCAGCCCCTTTAAATTTCTGGCAAGAACAAGCCTTCCCTCACCTGCTTTACTAGTATAGGACATCGTGATGACACATGGTGGTGAAAAGTTCTGTCAAAGTGTTACATGCTTTTAGGAACTGAAAATAATACTTACAATATAAAAGACAAGGTAAGTCAGGGAATACCTTTTTGATACTTGATAGTATTTTCTTTAGTGCTTGCTCATTTAATTCACCAGAAGAATTGTAGAAACTGTGAAAACCAAAATTAAAAGCATTTCAAATAAGCTAAAAATATGAATGATTTTATTAGCACCTTTAATTTTAGTTACTCCTAAACTACCCAACCCAAATCCACATATTGCTACCTGCTTGTCAGATGAAGTTCTAAAATAAATAGTAGGGAATGTTCTCAAAGTATCAGACTTTGAGTGGTAGAAGTATGAGGTCCATAAGCAATGAAAAAGGAAAAGGGGTGGAGAAACCTCAAGAGATAACTTTGAGCATCATATTTTCTTTAAAATATATTTTATTGATTTTTTTTTACAGAAAGAAAGGGAGAGAGCTAGAGAGCTAGAAACCTTGATCAGCTGCCTCCTGCATGCCCCTCACTGGGGACGTGCCCGTAACCAAGGTACGTGCCCTTGACCGGAATCGAACCCAGGACCCTTCAGTCCGCAGGCCGACACTCTATCCACTGAGCCAAACCAGTTCGGCCATCATATTTTCTTAAAACAAAACACTCTTCATTAAACACAGGTATTTGTGAATTCATACAGCCAGTTCAAAATTAATTCATAATTTACTTATTAAAACTTAAAGATAAATATTAATACATACAAAAATATGTAAAATGAGTATTAGAGCACAATAATGAAAAGATCATTTATTATTTAAAAAATTTTTATGTATCATTATTGTGTTCCAGTTGTTCATGCCAAAGGCAATATTTGCATTAAATTAAGAAAAGTGTTTCAGGAGGTTGTTGTTTTTTTTTTTTTTTTTTTTTTTTTTTTGTGTGTGTGTGTGTGTGTGTGTGTGTGTGTGTGTGTGTTTAATGGGGTGTTTGGGAGAGCCCAGAATAGGTACTGCTTTAGTTTAGTGGTCTTTGTTCTGTAGCTAGAAAGCCAAAGATGCAGGGAGAATTAAAAGATAACTCTAAAAGATTCTAAAGCGTTTACTTCCAGCCTACTTTCCCTTCCAATAACAAGGAATGGCAGGTATATTTTCCTCCTGTTAATATCTGAGATAAATCATATTTTTTTCTATGATGGTGCACTGTTATACAAAATCCTTTATAAATAATAGTCACTGTAATAAGTTTAATGGTAATTCTAATCTGTATACTAAAAATTAAGTTACATAGAACCAAAATTATATCCTAATGGACAATATATTTTTTCTTTTTAAATTATAAAAGCTTACATTAAAAGTTTTTAATGGAGCCCTAGCCAGTTTAACTCAGTGGATAGAACATCGGCCTGCAGACTGAAGGGCCCCAGGTTCAATTCCAGTCAGGGGCAGGTACCTCAGTAGCAGGCTCCTCCCTGGCCTGGGCCCTGGTGCCTTTGCAGAAGGCAACCAATCAATGTGTTTCTCTCACATGGATATTTCTGTCTTTCCTTTTCTCTTCATTCTCTCTAAAAATCAGTGAGGCCCTAGCTGGTTTGGCTCAGTAGATAGAGCGTTGGCCTGTGGACTGAAGGGTCCCGGGTTCAATTCCAGCCAAGAGCACATGCCCGGGTTGTAGGCTCAGTTCCCAGTAGGGGGGTGTGCAGGAGGCAGCTAATCAATGATTCTTATCATTGATGTTTCTATTTCTCTCTCATTCTCCCTTCCTCTCTGAGGTCAATGAAAATATATATTTTTAAAATATCAGTAGGAAAATATCCTCAGGTGAGGATTTAAAAAAAAGCTTTTACTGGAAAAATAGACAAAATGTTCCATCTACCAAAGGGCAGGTCCAGAGAAATACTTTTCATGAGTCTCTACCAAGAATCCCTTAGTCATTCAACAAATATTTTTGCAGCTTTATACTAAGCTGCCCTAATCCGTTTGTCTCAGTGGAGAGTGTCGGCCTGTGGACTAAAGGGTCCCAGGTTCGATTCTGGCCAACGACACATGCCTGGGTTGTGGGCTCAATCCCCAGTAGGGGCGTGCAAGAAGCAGCTGATCAATGATTCTCTCTAATCATTGATGTTTCTATCTCCTCTCCCTTCCTCTCTGAAATCAATAAAGAAATATATTTAAAAAAAAAACACCTATACTAAGCCTTTATTTCTATCATCCCTTACCATAAATCTTTATCATCTTACAACCAAATGCTCCATTGCAACTCTTTTTATTTTATTTTATTTATTTATTTATTTTTATTTTTTAATATATATTTTATTGATTTTTTTATAGAGAGGAAGGGAGAGGGATAGAAAGCTAGAAATGTCAATGAGAGAGAAACATCGACCAGCTGCCTCTGCACACCCCCTACCGGGGATGTGCCTGCAACCAAGGTACATGCCCTTGACCGGAATCGAACCTGGGACGCCTCAGTCCACAGACCGACGGATGCTCTACCACTGAGCCAAAACGGTTTCGGCTGCAACTCTTTTTAAAAATATATATATATTTTATTGATTTTTTATAGAGAGGAAGAGAGAGGTATAGAGAGTTAGAAACATCAATGAGAGAGAATCATCGATCAGCTGTCTCTTGCATACCCCCTACTGGGGATGTGCCCGCAACCAAGGTACATGCCCTTGACCGGAATCAAACCTGGGACCCTTCAGTCCACAGGCCGACGCTCTATCCACTGAACCAAACCAGTTTCAACTCCACTGCAACTCTTACACTATCACTAAGTGTGACTGTAAGATAATAATGTTGATTATTTATATAGTTTATATAAATCATAAAGCTATTTCATTAAAACTATACCATGTTATAGTTATAACTATTTGCTTTATGAATATTTATTTGTGTACTTTTCCATCTGTATGTAACAATACCTCAGTAAAAAGTACTTAATAATACCACAGCTTATATTAAGAGCTAACAATACTACTTCTATATATAGGACTAAGAGCACAAGTTTTCACCCTAGAAAAGCAAAGGAAGCAGGATAAAGAAACTAACTGGTTAACTGATAAAATATAATATTAAAAAATATGATACGTGAAGAAACTATGATAAACCAGAATAAAAGGGTAGGAAAAAAAGGCTGCTGTTGATTTATGAAAATGTATCACTGAATTTATAATAATGCAATGAGGTGAGTGGGTGTGAGAAGGAAAAGCAATCCTCAAAGTAAACTGGTGCCTGGGAGAGGCAGTAGAGATCAGCTAACACAAGCATATAAATACAAAGAATGAGATATTAGGATTGAGCCGAAGCCCGTTTGGCTCAGTGGTAGAGCGTCGGTCTGCGGACTGAAAGGTCCCAGGTGATTCCAGTCAAGGGCATGTACATTCGTTGCGGGCATATCCCCAGTAGGGGGTGTGCAAGAGGCAGCTGATCGATGACTCTTTCTCATTGATGTTTCTAACTCTCTATCTCTCTCCCTTCCTCTCTGTACAAAATCAATAAAATATATTTAAACAAACAAACAAACAAACAAACAAACAAACAAAAAAACAAGTCTTTTCATTTTAAACAGCAGCACCATATATAACAAAGATATTCTGTTAATTTTAAGAATTACTTCACTTGCAGAGTAATTTTCACAGGGAATCATTTACTTGTTCTTGCTTACTTACCTAAAAAGCTGATAACACGGAATATATTTCTGAATGTCTGGAAAAAAAGAATTTTTAATTACGATTACATTCATTGTTATTTGAATAACATAATGTTGAATACCTCATGCCAGGAAATACTTTACCATTATCTCATTTAAACCTCCGAACAAACCTATGAGACAGATGTTATTCTTTCCATTTTAAAGCTGAGGGAACAGGCAGAGAGATTAAGTGACTCTCCCAAGCCAGGGCAGAGCTTCAAGCCTAACCAGTGTGGTATATTCCTTCTATGTATGTTACTAACAACAACACAAAAGGACAAATTCAAAACTGCAATTTTTCCTCTGAATTCTAAAATGGGTTATACTGTAATTTTACGGAATTGATAAAAACAGCTGCTAATGGGATAACCTTGTGTTATTACAAGTAGTTATCTCACAAAGGATTTGTTAATGTTAACTATCAAGAAAAAAAAATCCAAACATCTTTTTCTTTACGGGGCATGGGACTATGCTCTAACCAACTGAGCCATCCATACCGGCCAGGGCAAAACCTCTTTTAAGAGGCTAGTTTTATTTCTTGTCAATAGAAATAAATCTAAATAGGAAAAGTGATCATCCTCTTTAAATATTTTTCTTCTAGAAAATGTATGCTACCCTCAGATAAATCTCTGCCTGCAAAAACACTGAGCAGATAGTCTTTATAAATGGTAACAGCCCAACATTCTCAGGTGCAGGTAACAAAGTATAAAATGAAAACTTAATTAACCAAAGCAATATAGAAATTTGCAGATCTTGGATTTTATCTGTTATCATTGTTTCTTAAAGTAATCTAACATTTTAAAATGATTTGAGCAAATACTTAAGCATTTCTGTAGCACTTGCCTGACACCTTAAAGCTGAGTGCTATCCCTGGCACAATGGCTCAGTAAATGGTTGCTTATTTAAACTCCTCAAAGTGTGTTTGATACTTTGGCCAGCATGCCAATTAGAAGAAAAAGCCCCCCCCCCCCAAAGGTCAGTACATAAACCCTCAATCTCATTTGTAATTAAGAAATGCAAATTAAAATTATTATTATTATTTTTTACTTATCACATTGGCAAAGATTCAAAGACCTGATAATAGCTAGTGGTGGCAAGATTATGGGGACACAGGTACTTTTACATATTGAGGAGTCTAGAATGGCATGACTTTTCCAAAAGGCAATGCCTACCTCTAGGAATTTTTTTTATATATATATTTTATTGATTTTTTACAGAGAGGAAGAGAGAGGGATAGAGAGTTAGAAACATCGATGAGAGAGAAACATCGATCAGCTGCCTCCTGCCTCCTTGACCGAAATCGAACCTGGGACCTTTCAGTCCAAAGGCCGACGTTCTATCCACTGAGCCAAACCGGTTTCGGCTACCTCTAGGAATTTGACTTTCAGATATATTCAAAGACACAAAGACATATGCACAATAAAATGTCTACTATTTTATTACAAATAAAAAGTTATCCATAGCTGTTTAAATAAGTTATGGTAGGTCCATATAATGGGACTCTGAAGCCACAGAAAGAATGACAAATATACACAATGACATTCTTCTGTACTAATAACATCTTGGAGATATTTACCCATATATAGAGGATCCCATTTGTTTAAATGAAACATATACATATGAAACCAATAGTGGTAGTCACAGAGGAAACTAATGAGAGTGAATTTAAATTGACTTTACGTATTTACACATATACACTATAATTATACACATATGTAAATTTATATATATATACTTCCATTTTAAAAAGTATTTTTTATTGATTTTTTTTACAGAGAGGAAGAGAGAGGGATAGAAAGTTAGAAACAACAATGAGAGAGAAACATTGATGAGCTGCCTCTTATACACCCCCTACTGGGAATGTGCCCGCAACCAAGGTACATGCCCTTGACCAGAATCGAACCTGGGATCCTTGAGTCCGCAGGCCGACCCTCTATCCACTGAGCCAAATCGGTTAGGGCTGTACTTCCATTTTTAACCTTTTAAAGTGGCAAACAAAAAATAACATGAATAATCCTATACAATAACAGAGGAATATGCAAACTGTCCATTACTCTGTAACATCACGACCGATTGCAGGAGGCTGCCTGCGCGAGTGCGGCATGGCATTGCTCCTCAGGTGGTGTGCAGGAGGTGGCTGATAGATGATGTTTCTTTCTCATCAATGTTTCTATCACTCTCCCTTCCTCTCTCTCTCTCTCTCTCAAGTCAATAAGAACATATTAAAAAAATATGTATTTTAAAGAGAAATAAAAACAATATGCTCTTTTAAAATCTGCTTTTAAATTTTTTTGTTTCTTTAAATCAATTTAAAAGTAATTTATACTGATCCCTTTTTAGCATAAACCATAAAAAATAGGAGACAAAGAAATAAGTTACTCACCTATTGTATAAATAACTTCAACATCATCCATTTGGGAATCAGTAATGCTATTCTTGGCTTCTCCTTTCACTTCCCCAAGAAGAAAACCTTCCTATGGATACAAATTAGAAAGGGTAAAATATATAAAATATACTGACAGTATTACCATTCAGTCACTTAACTAACCAATCTCTCAAGTATTTAACAACGTTATACAGTATGTGCTTCCAGCTTGAGGCGCACAGAAAACAAAGACCAGATGCACTCCAAGTTTAGTTGGGAAACATGAACAGTTAAATAAAAATGAGTAGAGATTGTAAGTGCCATTTTAATTTTAGCATATTTGGGAGAATAAAAGGTTTGAAGCCAGAAATGAGCACACAAAGCATGAGGAATGAGGAGCAGAGCAGTCTGCCTGGGAGCTGAAGGCTCCCATTTGTAAGGAAATCATAGATAGGAATAACTCCAATAAAGGAACATCCCAAATGACTAGCCGAGGACTCTGAATTGAGAGCAAATATTTCTGGGAGCCAGTGAAGGCTTCTGAGCTTCTGAAATGACACAGTGATCAATGCTTTTAGATTAAAAATCATACAAAACATTAAAAATGTGTAATTCAATATCAGAGTCTGCTTTCTGAAAAAAGAAAAGAAATAAATAGCCCAGCCAGTGTGGCACAGTGGTTGAGCGTTGACCTATGAATCAGGAGGTCAGGGTTCAATTCCCGGTCAAGGCACATGCCCAGGGTTGTGGGCTCAATCCCCAGTGTGGGGCATGCAGGAGGCAGCAGATCAGTGATTCTCTCTCATCGTTGATATTTCTATCTCTTTCTCTCCCTTCCTCTCTAAAATCAATAATATATATATATATATATTTTAAAAAGAAATAAAAAATATAAAGTGAGCTGAAAGCCCTGATTCTTTAAGAACTATATCCATTCCTGCTAAAATGGTGGTGATTTATTTGAGTTTTGGAGAATTCAGTTATTTTTCTTGGCACATTTAAAGACCCATATGCTTGAGCAACAATGGGGATTTTGATGTATTTATAATTAAAGATACCCCTTCCTCCCCATTTCCTTAAAGAAGAGCACAAAAGGAATGTCTCCACAATGTGAGGGTTTACTAGACAAAAAGGGAGCTAAACCTACACTCTAGTGCTCTAGACAAATCCTGGGAAAGGAAGCGGGGACAACACAAGTATCTGGAAAAGCACCCTTTAGCCCAGTGGTTAGAGGTTGAGTGTATGCCCGGGCACCAAGAGGTCACAGGTTTGATCCTTGGTCAGGGCACATGCCCTGGTTTCGAGCTCCATCCCCAGCAGGGAGCGTGCGGGAGGCAGCCAGTCCACGTTTCTATCTCTCCCTCTCCCTTCCCCTCTCTCTACATATCAATACAAACATATTAAAAAAAAAGAAAATCACCGTTTAAAGACTGAAGGAAAAATATCTAAGAAACAAGGGCCTACCATTATGATACTTTCCAAGGGCTAATTATGCTACAGAGGACTTAAGGACCCATTCTGTTTATATAATATTTACACTAAGACATTCCAAAATAACTTCCTCAGCTACATACATTCAAATCAGTCACATTTGTCTTTCCTAGGGGTTAATCAAGGTTACCTAAGATATGACTAGAGTTTGTTCAGTATGGCATTTTCTAAACTAACAGCAAGTTATTAAGCACTTTACTTTCTGTGCTCAAAGTTCTACAGTGCTTAATTTCATAAAAATAAGTTTATTAAAATAGACACTGTATTTTTAAAAAACCGACTTCATTGCTTCACCCAGACGTTTTTAACCTAGGCAGCTGGTGTGAACTAAGTATTTAAATATCTAATATCTGAGCATAAATATTTCAATCATAACTGAAAACATCAGAGAAGGAACTAGTTGAGGCCTCACAACTTTAATAAACTTAATACTAATGCCAAAGTCGGATATCCGTTCCCCAAATAAGCTTTTTCATCCGCTTCGATTGCCCCCCAAATGGCCACTGGATGAGCCCCTCTACCCCTCCCCGCCCTCCATTTCACAGGCTCGGGGTCTGAGAAGACGGCGGGCAGAGGGGAGAAGGCGCAGCCCGGCCACCGGACCGCCTCCTCTCCCGCAGCCGCGGGCCCGGGAAGGGGCGCGGAGAGACACGGGGCGTGCGGGCTGCCGGGCTCGGGGCTCAGCAGAGCGCGGGCTCCTCCCGGGAAAGACCTCGCGGGCGGGCGGGCGGCGCCTCCGGGCGGCCCAGTAGCGGGAGGAGCAGAGCCCGAGGGCTGCGGCCGGCGCCGCGGCCCCGGGAGCTCGCGGGCAACGGCGGGGAGGGCGCCCGGCCTCTTCCAAGGCGACGCCCGCCCCCGCCCCCGCCCCGCCCCGCCCCGCCCCCCAGCTCACCGAGTCCGAGTCCGTGTTGAGGTGCTGGAAGGACAGCGCGCCGAGCACGAAGCCCGACAGCACCGCCGAGGTACTCTCGCCCTCCATGCCTGGGCCGCCACAGCGGTGAACCCGGGGCGGGGCGGGGCGGGGCGGGGCGGGGCGCGCCGGGGCTGCACAGCCGTAAAGCGGAGCCGGGGGCGGGGCCATGTCGGGCGGGGCGGGGCGGGGTGGGCGGGGCCATTTCGGACTAGGGGCCGGGCCTGGCGAGGAGCCCGGCTGCGAAGGGGCGTGGCCATGCCGAGATAGGGGCGGGGTCTGTCTGGGGGCGAGGCCCGCACGGTGCTCAAGCCGCGGCGCTCTCCGCTGGGGAGCGGGCTGGGGAGGCGCAGGCGCCCTCTGTTGGGGAGGGCGCAGCAAGGCGACTGTGGTTGGTGGGACCCACCCCTTTCTCCCTTCCTCCTCCCCCGCGCCTTCACGCTGGTCCTTCCCTGGCTCAGAGGCCGCTACGTGTCGGGCATCTCTGGGGAGGGTACAGGATGTGTTTTGGTGGCCAGTTGCTCCTGAAGAACCCGTGGCATAAAAGTGCAAAACTATCAAAAATGAACACTGCTGACAGAATGGAGGCATGGCTCAGTGGCATTGTAATATCACAATAGATAATGCCGTGTTTATGGCTTTCAAACTGCAGGATGCTGCCCCTTTACCAATGAAACTACTGAATACCAATACAAGGTTCAGGGATTGTCTCTTCTAGAACTCTCCAGTAAGATGGGATGGGGGGTGGGAGCGGGAGAGGAGTTGGGTTTCTTTGACAGGTATAGAGCCTCGACCTGCAGACTGAAAGGTCCCAGGTTCGATTCAGGTCAAGGGAACGTACCTTGCTTATGGGCACATCCCCAGTGGCGGGTGTGCAGGAGGCAGCTGATTGATGTTTCTCTCTCATCGATGTTTCTAACTCTCTATCCCTCTTCCTTCCTCTCTGTAAAAAATCAATAAAATATATATATTTTAAAAAAGACTAACAAAAGTGCCAGGGTTCTGTGGCTGGGAACCTAAAACCTAATGCACAGGAGTGGGAAAAATGGTCAGGGAATGAAGAGAACTTTCTGAGATTCCTTAACAGAGGAGCCTCATGCATTATGGCACCAACATCTCTTGGTAAAGCCCTAATATGGGCTACAATTAAAAAATTGAGTGAATATAGAAATGTATAAGATTACTGATAATAATAATAACAGTAATAATCTTGTTACTGGTTATAAGATTAAGGTGAAAGTTTGAATGACAGGCCTGATGTGAAGAGGTGTGTCTTCATTATCTGAATGCTTTATGGGAATAGATATTATATCTGACTTGGAAACACTTCCTCTACCTAATATCATAAAACCAAAACCAGTCAAAATTTTAAATTTATATAATCCAATTGTCCTATAGTAAAGCTGTTCTAATATACAATTCCATAAAAATGAATGCCTTGAAAAAATGAAATGGCATTAAGTGGAATCTCTGCCAATGTTATGGGTCACAAATTTTCTCTTAGATAATTTCAATTGATGTCATTGGTACTGCTTTACTCATGAAGCTGAGACATGTTTGTTCTCCTATGAATTATCTCAATATATATTTTCCCATTTTCTATTGCTCTTTATATCTTATTGATTTAACTGTTAAATTAATATGTATTAAAAGAATTATCTTTTGGCCTGTCAAATACTGAAAGTGTTTTTTTTCTTAGATGGTTTTTAATTTATTGTGTTTAAGGCAATTATTTTTAATGCAGAAGCTTTAAAACCTTGTGTTTTAACTTTTATTCATGCCCTTAATCTTTCTGTCCAATGTATCATATTTAAGAAGACTTTCCTGTCTTATGACATTATTCTTCAATAGGAAGCAATTACTAATTAAGATCAGTGGACTGGGGGAAGATAGAACAAGGTAAAGAGGGGATAAATTGTGATGGAAGGAAACTTGATGGGGGTGGTAAACACACAATATAGTATTTAGATGATGCACTATAGAATTGTATATCTGAAACGTATAATTTTATTAACCAATGTCATCCCAATAAATTCAATAAAAGTGAATAAATAAACAAGAACAAAAAGTTTAAAAAAAAAGGACCAGTGGACTAATGCCATTGGCTGAATGGAATCATAACCAACAGAAATCAATTATTAAAAGCCTGAACACTAGACCCATACAAACAATAGAATTGTTTTAAGAAGACTTTAAAAATGATAATTTATTCCTTTCTTCACTAAAAGAAACTAGGTGGGTTCAAAGAATTATGTAAATATAACCTGACATAGGACTAAGGTGGAAAGGGCTGATACTGATCTATTCTGAGGCAATCTATCCTATCTAATAAAAGAATGATATGCAAATTGACCATACCTCTGCTATATCCGCAAGCCGTGCCCACCACCCAATCAGGAGAGAGTATGCAAATTAAGCCAACCAAGATGGCTACAGCCATGGAGTGAGCAGGAGGCATAGGTTTCCCTGGCAATGGAGGAAGCCAAGCTTTCTGCCCACCCTGGTCTGCCCTGGCCTCTGCTCAATCTACAAAGTTTCAATTATAGAAGAAAAATCCCAGATACCAAGGCCTCTGCTTGGATCACTGGGGGTGTGTGGCCAGCCTGCAAACCACCACAAGCCCCTTGCCCAGGCCACCCCACACCTTAAGGGAACCCGCACCCTGATCCAGGATATCCTTCAGGACAAACCAGCTGGCTCCCACCCATACACCAGGCCTCTATCCTATGTAATAAAAGAGTAATGTGCAAATTGACCATCATTCCAACTCACAAGATGGCTGCCCCCATGTGGTCAAAGTTCCTGCCCCTGCTCCCATGTGGACACAAGATGGCTGCCACAAGATGGCCAGCAGGAGAGGGCAGTTGGGGGAGACCAGGCCTGCAGGGAAGGGTAGTTAGGGGAAAGCAGGCTGGCAGGGAAGCAGTTAGGCATCAATCAGTTTGGTAGGGGAGGGGTTAGGGGGTGATCAGGCTGGCAGGCAGAAGCTGGTAGGGGCAATCAGGAAGGCAGGCAGGTGAGCAGTTGGGAGCCAGCAGTCCTGGATTGTGAGAGGGATGTCCAACTGCCTGTTTAGGCCTGATCTTTCTTCTTAGAAAATTTCAAGTATATGATACAGTATTATTAACTGTAGGATCCATGTTGTATATTAGATCCCCAGAACCTATTTGTCTTGTATAACTCTAAGTTTATAACTTTTGACCATCATCTCCCCATTTTTTCTACTCCCCAACCACTGTCAATCACCATTCTATTCTGCTTCTTTGAGTTCAACTATTTAGATTATGCAGTATTTGTCTTTTTGTGCCTGACTTATTTTACTTACCATAATGTCCTTCAGTTTCATCCATGTTGTCACAAATGGCAGGATTTCCTTCTTTTAAAAGGCTAAATAATATTCCATTGTGTGTGTTTGTGTAGGTCACAATTTTGAAATTTATTTTTCAGTTACAGTTTACATTCAATATTATTCTGTACTAGTTTCAGATATACAACAGTGATTAGGAAATCATGTACTTTATATAGAGTTTCATTTTTTATTGATTTCAGAGGGACAGAAACATCAATGATAAGAGAGAATCATTGATTGGCTGCCTTCCACATACCCCCCCATCCCCACTGGGGACTGAGCCCAAAACCTGGGCATATGCCCTTGACGAGAATCGAACCTGAGACTCCTCAGATGGCAGGCCAACGTTCTATCCACTGAGTCAAACCAGACAGGGCAGAGTCTCAAGTTTTTTAAATCCTTTTACCCTTTTTATGGGACACTTAGTTATTTCCATACCTTGACTAATGTGAATGATACAGCAATGAATTGTTAATCCTTCCTGACTCCCAGCACTATACCCTTTCCAGTGAGCCAAAAAGATTGAGAGAGAAGCAGCCTTATCCATGGGAAATATAATATATGAAGCCCTGGGAAATCCTCTGAAATGCTAAGAAGGCTGGTCAGAACTTAGGTCCACTAAAGGAGTTAAGACTTCAAGTGCAGCTGAAACCGGTTTGGCTCAGTGGATAGAGCGTTGGCCTGCGGACTGAAAGGTCCTGGGTTCGATTCTGGTCAAGGGCATGTACCTTGGTTGCGGGCACATTCCTAGTGAGGGGTGTGCAAGAGGCAGCTGATCAGTGATTCTCTCTCATCGATGTTTCTAACTCTCTTTTTTCCTCTCTGTAAAAAAATCAATCATATATATATATATATATATATATATATATATATATATATATATATATATTTAAGTGCAATCCCTGGGGAGTGTAAGTGTGAAGGAATCAGGCTTTGTAGGAACCTACACTATTTAAATAGTGTTAAGAACCTACACTAATTAGTTAATGATGTTACTACATTAGTAACATTATTGATTTTAATTCATCATTTACTTTCAGACTTTAACTTATAACTTAAATAGAAGTCAGAATGTATCAGAGATAAACAAAGCCAGACACATTAAAGCAGTGAAAACAGTCTCCACCCATCTCCCTCATTTTACTGATGCAGAATCTGAAGCCCAAAGCAATAAGTTAACCCAGCTGTTCCATAGCTGTGCTATATCACAATTGAGATGTTTGCACTGATAAGGTTTTCTTCTTCACCACATCCCAAATTGGGGATTCCTGTTGGCATTGAGTTGGCACAAATGCCCATCGGTTGACACCTATACCCCTTGAGCACCTTTAAAACTTTGCTTCCTGGGCTTCAGGACAGAGTAATGAACAAGAGCCACCAACGATGAAGCCCAGGCATTGCTTTTCTTTTCTTTTCTTTCTTTCTTTTTTTAATCCTCACCTGAAGATATGTTTAGAGAGAGGAAGGAGAAGAGAGAGAAACATGATGTGAGGAAAACATTGATTGGTTGCCTCCCCTATGCTTCCCTACTGGGGCTAGTACCCTCAATCTAGGTATGTTTGCTGATCAGGAATCAAAACCCCAACCTTTTGGTGTATGTAAGGATGCTCCAACCAACTGAGCCACACCGGCCAGGGCAGGCATTGCCTTTTTTCATAAAAGTGGTTCCTGATAGTCTTCCGGTTTGTAAACCACTGCTTTATAGGAGATTGTAAAATAA